GTGCTGTTGTTGTTATTGTTATTGTACGTGTTGTTGTTATTGTTGTTGGTGCTGTTGTTGTTATTGTTATTGTACGTGTTGTTGTTATTGTTGTTGGTGCTGTTGTTGTTATTGTTGTTGTTGTTGTTATTGTTGTTGTTATTGTTATTGTACGTGCTGTTGTTATTGTTGTTGGTGCTGATATTGTTATTGTTGTTGGTGATGTTGTTGTTGTTGTTGTTATTGTTATTGTACATGTTTTTGTTATTGTTGTTGATGCTGATATTGTTATTGTTGTTGGTGCTGTTGTTGTTATTATTGTTGTTGGGGCTGTTGTTGGTGCTGTTGTTGTTGTTATTGTTGTTGGTGCTGTTGTTGTTATTGATGTCTTGATAACAGCAGACGTGAGATGTTAGTGATTAGTACCTTTAACAGCGTCATTACTGATGGATGGCGTTATCGGTTTGTTGCTGCTGGCCCCTGTAGAGGTGTCATCATGCTTCGACGGCGAGTTGACCGTGCCAGGACTACCTATGCCTTCATCGGACACTTCATTATACACATTGTCTATCGAATTCTCACTTGGCGTCACCATAATCATGTGTGGCGGTGGTGACCCTGGGAAAGATAAAGGCGAAAACGTCGTCAATCGAGAATTCTTATGTTGATTCGTGATGTTGTACGGTGTAACCCATGCTGTTTTATAACTGTGCCCACACACTATCCTGTCTGTATGTTGTTACGTATGATGCTAGAGTGCATGGCATACAAACTGCTTGTAAGTCCGTCATGCAAAGTTGCATGGTTTTTAACTTTCTACATGGTCATTCCAGCTGGATATCTTCTGAAATAATCCAGCATGTTTACCTCATTGGCATAGCATGCAATTAAACTTGAATACTATGTTTCTGCCACTGACATGAACCAGGCATGAACACTATCTCACTATTTTTATCACCGGTGTACTTCTTCTATAGTGAAATGTTTGGTAATGAGTACAAACTTGTTCGCTGTGGCTCATATGGGAAATAATAAACTGACAGGACAAGCTAGCTGGTGTACTACCAGCTGGTCCTGCTTTCCAAATAAGTATTGAATCCACCCCTACCTGGCTCCATCTCACCTCTCACCCTTCTCGCAACCAACACATCTACTCGTCTCCTCTCCTCCCTCCCGTCTCTCTCTCTCTCTCTCTCTTCTCTCTCTCTCCTCTCTCCCTCGCCTCCCTCCGCTCTCTCTCTCTCTCTCTCTCTCTCTCTCTCATCTCTCTCTCATCTCATCTCACTCTCTCACTCTCTATCAGTCTCTCTCTCTCTCTCATTAGTAGGGCAGCATACCTGCATGTTATTTTTACAGGAGACATATTCCGCAGGAGATTTGCTCCTAGACTTCAGACCGCATGCTTTGAGGCTTTTCTTCTTAGTTGGCACGACTGATTTCCCTGCCTCTCCCTATAAGAGAACAGAACAAATGGTAATCGTATTCAAAAAATGCTGTTATTTGTCACAAGCACGCCCATCAATATTAAATGTAATTGTCCCCGGCGCAGAACTTTATCTACAATTAATACAAGAAAAAAAATAGTTTACTATGGCATTTTAATAATCTGTAAATAAAGAATTACCGAGGAAATTCATTCTATATAGAAAATAATAATCCAAGAGACTTACTGCTAGAGTAAAACAACAGCATAACATTTTGATGATTGACATTACATGTTCTAATGTATTTTCATTGAAAATAATTAATTAACACACTAATAATGACAAAAATTCAAAACTGACTTGATAGCTAAGACTAAAAGAAATTGGCAATCAGCTGGTATAAAACGAACACTACAAACAGATGGTAGTATGAGCGTTACAGGAATTATACCTTCTTTGTTGCATCTTGCAGCAGCAGTATTGATGGGTTTAAATGGATTTTGCTCAGGTGCCAATTCATTTTTAACTGCAACAGTCTTCTTCGTTCTGACCTTCAGCTTTCGCTCTGTAAATAACAGTTAGTGTTGTGACCTCTCTATGTTAGGACAGCCTATGTTAACGTCAGCGTTTCGCTCACTTGTTTCCTCTCATCATGTCTCCTAGCAGTGTATCTTCCCTTCTCTTGGCTTCCCTTCACATACGTTTTCCGCTCGTCTCTCTCTCATCG